AACATGCATGACTTTCTGTTGAATTGTACATTCCTTAAAACTGGAATGCAGGCATTCAAGACAGTTCGTGTGATTGCAGAATATATTGTGGACACAGGATTTTGAGTACCGTAGTTTGTTACAGGGCTTGGCTTTGAAGAACAAAAACTTATTACTTGAACTATGATCTAAAGTGCTTTTTTATAGGCTGTTTTCGTGAAAGTTACAATTTGTTGACCTGAGAAGTTTGATATTTAACATTCATGTTTACAGAAGCTCTCATCATTTTGAAAACTATTCTGAACGTGGCAGAAATTGCATGCTATGTAATTAGACAGGAACTAAAAGTGGCTTAACACAAAATTTTACAATTTCGGTTTTTCAAAGTCTCTACTTGGTAAAGATGGTTAAATTGTTGAACAATGCAACTTGGTGAACTTATTCATTTTGGTCCGACGTTTTCTAAGAATCAGAAATTGTATAATAACTACATTCATAAGTAGAAATCACCCCTCCCTTTTAAAATGCATAATCATGATTTATGTACTCCAGACAACCGAAGTCTCTTAAATTGTATTTGTTTCTCTTTACACACACATACACACATTTTGTTTTGTTCCATACTGCCCTACCTTCTATCTACAGAAGTCTAGGTACTTCAGAGCAAATATATCTAAATTCCACAGGTAAAAGAATAGTTCACTTCCAACATTAAAATCTTTTTCTTCACAGGGGAGTATTTATATATTCAAAAACTGGAAAACCCAAAAGGCTTTTATGTCTGATACAGGTACAATGTAAAATCGAAGTTTCTTTGATGAGCAGGACAATAGTAGAACTCTGGTATCTGTCATACATGACAAGAACTAATGAGTTGTCGACATGTCTTAATTTCTGAATTCTGGTTCCTTTAATACTTTCATCTGTGGTGTTTAGCATGGAATATTTTGTTCTTAATGTCTGTAAATACTACAATATGGACCTGAAACTAGTTTTAAAAGATAACATTTCAGTAGAAGGTACTGATTCTTGTGAGATGAGGTGTGATTGCAAACATTTACTGATGCTTTTAAATGTTAAATATTTTTCTACTGGATTATGTTTTGTCTTTTTCATTTTTACGAATTGCAAAAACATTTTATAGAGACAATGTTATTAAAAAAAGGTTAATGTTTGCTACTCTAATCTCTGTTTTAATTCAATCAGTCAAATACTACTCCTTGAGTAATGAACGGCAGCTACCCAGGTTGACCATGGTAAATGGGGAGAAGGTCTCATTCAGGCAATAGAAACAGACTCCAAAGGGGTGGGGGGGAGGATCTGTCTTGTCCAGAAGCCCTAATACATTTAAGAAACTCAAAGCGGCAGCCTGTAGGCAGTCTGCTGAAATTCTACATATATTCAGTTTCCTTTTTATTTTGAATTATGTATGGATGACTATTACTTTTCTTTGTTTTACCCAATCAGCCCTTTTCTAATTTTTTTCCTAATCCATTAGCAATATTAGGGACCTTAAAGTGTAGTTTGTTAAAGAGACATTAAAGTGTAATTTGTTTGGCCCTATATGAAAGGTCCACAACTGGCTGGCTACTCATTCTGAAAATCTATATTAGGGGTGTCAAACTCTCAAAGTCACGTGACGTGTCGCGACGTATTGCAACTTTTTTCCCACTGCCGGCAATGGGGTGGGTGCGGTTTCGGCATGACACATCCAGCCCGCTGGCCGGCAATTTGACACTCCTGATCTATATTAATGGCTGCAATGAGTATTCATTCACTTACTCATTCACTCTTTCAGTTTATATGGCCACTCATCTCAGATTCATGTCTCTGGGCAGTTAACAATAGTTAAAAGCAACATAAGCTCACCTGTAACAAATTAACAGTCATTGTATGGGCTCAGATACACTTTCTGATCCCTAGGCCTATTGATTAATTGGATTTATATCCCAATTTCATTTTGTGCAACCCAGGACAACATATATAATGCTCCCTGTTTTCACCATAACAGTATCCCTGTGAGGCACTTTCACCTAAGACACTGATAGAAATTCCAGTCTCAACTTAGGTTATAGGTCTAGGATTATCTGTAAAACTTTCAGTTCCCCCAGTTTCTAGTCTATCAACCAAATTGGCTCTTAATTTGGAATTTGAAAAAGAATTTAATTTCAATGTGAACAAAACTGATGGAAGAGGTGTATCAGTATGCTGTAGGAAAAGTATTACCACAGAAACAAATACCAAAAATAATGGATATAAGTTGCAGGTACCTACATTTTATTTAAATAGATAAAATTATTCTTACAGTAAGATCTGGATAATAGTGGAAGTCTACCTACAATTGTGCATTTTCCACATCTGGAGGTTTTAAGAAGTGACTGGATGTCCACCTCTTGTCGTTAATTTAATTAATTTTCCTGAACCCTGCAGACGTTTTCTGATCCCTTCCAACTTTATAATTCAACAATTCTGAGTTTCTTACATCTGGAAAATAGAATAGCTTTGGAGAAGTATCTTCTGCTACACAAAGAGGAGGGTTGACAGAATGCCTTGTCAATCTAAGTCAGTCCTTCCCAATTTTTTACAATCCAAAACCAATGATCAGAAAACCTTTTTTACCCAATGTAGGTAAAACATTTTATTATTTAAATGTCAATTTTAAAAAGTCCATTTAAATGTCCCTGTTATGATTGGGTAATGGGCTCCTGTACTGTTTTCTAATGAAAAAATACTTTTACCCAATTTTGGATAATTTACCCAGGTTTGGGAAGTACTACTATAAGTCAAACAGAATGTTCAGGCATGGATATATCTACTAGGATCCCATATAGTTATTCTATTGTCATGGAAAAAAGGCAGCTTTACTGAAATGCAAAGCAAAGCAATGGAGATCTGTTGTTTTTTTTTAATTTAATATATGTGAGGATCACTGGTCCCCACCAAAATAAGCTGAGTCCTGAGTTTAGAAACAGAAAAAATGTGGTAATCAGCACTGCATAATTAATTAGAATTAGAATCAGAATAGAGCTGGAAGGAACCTTGGAGGTCTTCCAATCCAGCCCCACGCTCAAAGCAGGAGATCCTATACCAGTGGTGGCAAACCTATGGCACGGGTGCCAGAGGCGGCACTCGGAGCCCTCTCTGTGGGCACGTGCCGTTGCCCCAGCCTTGCCTCCCCCCACGACCCCCTCACCAGCAACCCCCCTGGAGGAGAGTTGCCCCCGAGCGTGGCCCACGTGGAGCAGCGCAGCCAAGGCCATGACAACCAGGCAGGTAGACAAGACTCTGCCCTCACGCAACACGCACAGTTGATGCTGCGGGGCACAGGCAGAGGACGTGGCTGCCATGGCGATCTGCGGCGGGCCCTGGAGACGGTGAGTGGCCCTGTGGACAGGCAGGGTGGAGCGGAGTGGGGATGGGGCAGGGCGGGGCCAGTTTTTGGGCACTTGGTCTCTAAAAGGTTTGCCATCACTGTCCATTTTACACAAGTCGCTGTCCAGTCTCTTCTTAAAAAACCCCAGTGATGGAGTGCCCACGATTTCTGAAGGCAAGCTGTTCCACTGGTTAATTGTCCTCACTGTTAGGAACTTTCTTCTTAATTCCAGGTTGCTTCTCTCTTTGATCAGTTTCCAACCATTGTTTCTTGTCCTGCCCTCTGGTGCTTTGGAAAATAAATTGACCCCTTCCTCCTTGTGGCAGCCTCTCAAATACTGGAATACCGCTATCATGTCCCCCCTACTCTAATTACTAACTCTAAATATATAGTGCAGCCCCAATTTAACATCACTAATGAGGAAAATACATGGACCCGAACTTTGGTTTTGAAAGCTGGCTGGGTTGATTGGACCAGTCACTTCAGCTAACACTAGTCGAGTAGCAAGGGACAATCTGTCTCATCCCAACTCATCCACAGGACTGGCGTTGCAGAGGAAATAGAAGGACGAAGGAATAATTAGGGTATGTTCACTGTTTTGAGTTATTAAAAACAGTAACGTCTGGACAGAAAAACTATTTAAAAACCTTCACATTATTTTTCGAAACATGTTTAAGAATATATGGGGTAATTGAAACCGAATTCCATAATGCCCTCCCTTCTATAGTGCCTCCAACTTTCCTGGCAGGGAGTCAAGATCCAGGTTCTGCCAATTAGCGTGTGTGTGTGATCCAGGTTCTGCCAATTAGCGTGTGTGTGTGTGTGTGTGATCCAGGTTCTGCCAATTAGCGTGTGTGTGTGTGATCCAGGTTCTGCCAATTAGCGTGTGTGTGTGTGTGNTGTGTGTGTGTGTGATCCAGGTTCTGCCAATTAGCGTGTGTGTGTATGAAAGTGGTATGCAAAACCTGGGGGGTGGTTGGTGGATTGAGGGCGCTCCCTCCGCCTCTAACTTTTTAACCTGCAATTTTAACTTCGCTTTTAATCGTTTTTAATTCCCTTTTCTACATCGCGGTATGTTTTTTTTATTTCTAAACCGCCCAGGGTCGCTCGGATAAAGATGGGTGGTGTAGAAATTTGATCTTTAATTAAAGATATACAGTATGATAAGAAAAACAAATAATTGCAATCGCCACAACAAGAAACGAAGCCCACCCACGACTCAACATTTCCAAATTCTGCGGCGCTTCAGCCCCCCAAAGAGGGTGGTGTAGATCCACGTGGGTGACATTCTGCGATTCCTCCAGACCAGGGGTAGGCAACCTCGGCTCTTTTATGACTCATGGACTTCAACTCCCAGAATTCCTGAGTCAGCTATGCTGACTCAGAAATTCTGGGAGTTGAAGTCCATGAGTCATAAAAGAGCCAAGGTTGCCTACCCCTGCTCCAGACAGAGGATAGATTTCACGCTCATCGAACCACGCAACCAATGAAAATAGCCGAACCGTAGAAGCCTGAGCTCTGATTGGTTATCTCGGATAGCTTTAATCCCCTCCCCTATAGAACGAGATGGATGGGGAAATAAGCCGTTGGTCGACCGGGGGCATCGATGGGACGTGAGTTTTGATTGGTCGACTTAGTTTCCGTTTCCGGGTCTTTCAGCGCTTCCGGGTTAGATTGCGGCGAGCCAGTCTTCCCCTGTTGGACTGGGCGACCTTGCGGCCTCAGGCGGGCGACGTCTTCGAGCAAGTAGCCGTCATGGTGGCTCATTGGAGGCAAGCTGGGCTCAGGTAGGTGGGTGGCTGAAGGGAGCGGCCCGACCTTCGCACACACACACACACACCGGAATATCTTCCCGGCAGGTTGGTCTTGTGAAGCCGCCAACCTGCTGATGTTCGGATGCCTTAGATCAGTGTTTCTCAACCTTGACAATTTTAAGGCATGTGGACTTCAACTCCCAGAATTCCACAGCCAGCATTGCTGGCTGTGGAATTCTGGGAGTTGAAGTCCACATGCCTTAAAATTGTCAAGGTTGAGAAACACTGCCTTAGATAGGAAGTGGTAATAAAGCTTCCCTTGATCCTCTCCATCTTGCAAGTTAAATCCTTTTAATACAGAAAAGAAAGGGGGGAAAAACACAATAAAATCTCATTTCCAAACGGAGATATCTGTCATCTATCAAGGATATGAAAGATGGACAATAACCCATGATCGCCTGTAGACAGTTGTGAGGGTAACCAGTAACCCCTGAAGATGTGCTTAGAGGGCTTTAACGGGTTAACATTTAGAGTTTGTCAATGGCCATTTTTCATGACTCTGAATAAATGCCTGAGCCACTATGGCCCAGCTTTCCATTTTATTAGAAGCCCTGGTCTTTTAGAATGGCTTCCTCCTCCTCTTTTGCAGGGTGCTTTTCTAATTTTCCACAGTTGTTGACTCGAGGAGATTGTTGTTATTTTGATCCATATTTATTTTGCTTTCAGCTATATCCGCTACTCTCAGATCTGTGCAAAAGCAGTAAGGGCAGCCCTGAAACCTCAGTTTAAAACGGAGGCAGAGAAAGCAGCTGGAAGCCATGTAAAAACTATAAAACCCAAAAAGGAATGACACAAGTAAGTAAAGAAGTTCTAGAGATTTCTGTTTCCCTCAGATCTGTATATAATGTTTACAGCATTAAACTGCATTTTGTCTTATGTAATGCAGATTGTCTATGCAACCTTAAAAAATGTGATTTAATTGGTTATTACTAATCAGTTTTTGCTGAATCAAGAGATTTGTTCAAAATTCCAGCAAGAAAGGGATTGGTATAATAGTTTAGGATTACCTACAATTACCTAGAAAGCTGTCTTTGCCCCATTACATCAGCCCATCCCACCCAGGCAGGCAAAAGAGCCTTTTCTGCTGTTGCCCCTGCCCTTTGGAACATTCTTCCCACCCCCATTCCCCACAGAGGTGAGACTGAGTCCCACTTTCCCAGCCTTCTGAAAATATTTAAAGGCCTGGCTCTGCTATCTTGCTTGGTCCTTGCAGAGAGGCACATAGCTGTGGGGCTGGCCAATATTCTGAAGGCCGTCCTCCCACCTTTTACTTAATTCTTAATGGTAAACTAACTATTCTTGTCTCGCTTTTAAATTTTATGTTCAGTTTTTATGTTTTTAACATTTTATTTATACACCAGTCAATGTTTCTCTGTGAGCGAGATGGGTGGTTTCTAAATGCAATAGATTGATGCGAGAGAGTACTGAGTGGATATAGTTGTAAGAAACAGAACTGGATGTGCAGAAACTGTTTTACTGATTCTGCTGTTAGACTATTCCAATGGATTTTGCCATCTCGGACAATGGTCAGGATTGTGCTTCTCTTGTACTGTATACAAAAGTCAACTGAAGTGGAAATTCCAGCACTGAAAATAGCTAGCATGCTAAGATAGAGAGAAGCTGCATGCAATTCTGCCTTATCCAACAGCTTGCCACAATTCCTCATCCTACTTTTCCTTATTCGGCTTCATTATAGATCTGTCCCAACAGCAGTTGTTTCCCAGTGCTGAAAACAATGGGCATTTAAAAGTGACTTACTCTTTCTGTGTTGAAAATTGCTACAGCAAATACAACAAAGATGCAAAATTGTGTGCGTGTTTCAGAGATGTAGAAACAGTTTCAGCGTTTTTAGGTTCTAACCTTTTGCATATCAGCTCATGGACACAATGAAATAATTTAATTGGATAATACTTAAAAAATACAAGAACTGGTAGGTTGATATTAGTTCTCAAGCTGTCCATTTTAATTCACATTCTTACTGTATATTTACTTCTCTTTACAGAAACCATTCTCTAAAAGGAAAAATGACAACTCATTGGTATGTTTATGGATAGCCACTTCCCATTTTGTGAAACCATCCATGTATATATATATAAATGAACCATACCAATAAATGAAACTTAATGCAAATGATTTTAGTGATTATGTTTTGTCAAGCAATAATAAAATAAATCTTCAAGAAATTAAGCAGTCTAGATTTTATTGGACAGTAACTTATTAAAAAGGTTTTTTTCAATTTAATGCCGGTTTTTAATAACATAACAAGGCCACTGGTTACAGAAGATGTTTGAATCCTTTGTGGTAGACAAATAGTATTGAAAATCAACAAGAAACATTAGTTGAAAGATAAATTCAATGATATCATGCTTGCTGGGAATTAAATTCTATTGATGGACATTACCAGGTATGTAGACAAAGGTGTGCAATCACACTTATTTAGGTAGCTTTAACATTTGAAAAGCTGTACTTTAGCCTCAAAGTAATACTGATGCTTTAAAACAAAACAATTTAAGTATGCAGTAAGATCTTTATAAAAGAAAAATATATTGGCAGTTTGACATTTTGAATATTTTAAACTTAAAATGTAATAAATAAGGTCTAAATCAGGGCTTTTCAACCTTTTCACCCATTGTGCCACTTTTAGGATATGGCAACATCCGAGTACCACCAGTCGCCTAGCAAGGTGTCAAAAACTTGATGACCAAAAAAAAGGAAAAACATGATAAAGTACAGGTAGTCCTCGACTTACAACAGTTCACTTAGTGACTGTTCGAAGTTACAATGGCCCTGAAAAAAGTGCCCCCCCCAAGCCACAGCCGAGCAAGACACATGCCTGCCCACCCAGCGGCGCTCTTCTTCCTGTCTGAGGTTTTCATTGTTGTGAGCATTTCTGTTGAGGATTGGCAGTGGGGGTGGGGTGGGGGTGTTTGGTTTTTATTCCCCCCGTCTGCTGGGTGGTTGCAGCAGGTTTTGGTCACTTCACATGACCCTGGGACACTGTGACCGTCATAAATATGAATCAGTTGCCAAGCATCTGAATGTAAATCACAAGACCCTGGAGATGCTGCAACATTCCAGCTGATCGGTGCTTCTTCTGGGCTCAGCAGAAGCGTCAGGATCAGCGCAGAGCTCCAGCTGGAGCCTGGCACTGATCCTGGCGCTTCCGCTGAGCCCTGACAGCCCTGCAGCTCCAGCCATCTCTCACTCAGGCTTGTGCAGTGCTGCCACCGGTTCAGCTCATTCCCCTCCCCCGCTACCACTTTTCTAGGATGGTCACGTACTACCTGCCAGGTGCCAATGTACCACAGGTGGTACCCGTACCACTGGTTGAAAAGCCCTGGTCTAAATGATGCTTTTTGATGGGTGGACATGAACATACTGTAATCCTAAATGCTTCCTAATTCCGTGAACTTTTAGTAGGAAAGTGACAGTGTTAAAATTGATTGTAGTGTAAGAAATGAAGTTTAAAATGGTTTAACATTAGCTGAGTATTATTAGTACTTATCACATCCTGTTTTTTTTCCATATTCTGTTTGCTGCTGAGCTTTGCAGTAATGTGGCAATCACCAAGAAAACTGCATGTAGGATAAAAACCAATTTTAACTTATGACAAGTAGTTTTTCTGTATTAAAAGAACAGTTAACTTCCAAAGCTGTGTTCAATGAGTTCATAATCCTTCACAGAGTCACTGTATCAATGAGATGAGCGGCATAAAAATGTAATAAAAATACTGTAGAAAGCTAGTTTTAAATCTTTTAGCATCGAAGTTTTCTGCATAAGATTTCCTTTAAAAAATAGCCACCCTAAACGTTCCACTGTGGTCAAATTGTATGTTTCAGTGAATTCCCAACAGAAGAGAGGTTGCCACAACTGTTACATGGCACAAAGTTAAAATGACTTTTTCCTCTAAATTTGAATGCACGGTTCTTACTTGCATGTAGTTTATAAATTCAGTAGGTTAGTTGCACCAAGGATGACCAGCAGTGATCTGTATGGGAGAGAAATTTTGACTGGTTTCCTCCCCAAATTCTGCAACTAAATTATGCAAAAGAAAATCTTGATAAATCTGAAATGTTTTGAGGGGGAAATGGCTTGGATTGATGAAACAAAAATTGAACAGTTCAACTACAACCACATAAGGAGCACTTGAAGAAAGTAACACTGCCAGTCATTAAGGTGATGTTTCATTATCTTTTACAGATTGGTTGAGGACTTTAAAAAGAAGGGAAAATGGAAATGTTTGCACCTCTATAGGGATAACCTTTTCAGAGACCTTTGAGGAATGGTGGAAAAATTTAATTTGTACAAACTAACGTTGTAAACTGCAAGACGTGTTTTAATTCATAGAAATGGATACAAATTCTGTTTAATTTCATTTTTTATTAGATTTTGCATAATACTTGCATTGCAGTAGTAGCTTAAATAAAATCAAAATGCTGCGAGTAAAATAAATGGCAGCTAAAGAGAAGAATTTCTTCATTTTTCTGCTAGCAAAATCAGTTTTATACTATAGGGAAAAATAGTTTGTATGTCTATGGAGATTCTCAATCATTATATTTTGTATAAACATTCAACAGAAATCTGCGCAACACACTGTATAAGCAAAAGTGCAAGATTAAAAAAAATGTATATTCTTACTGTAACTGGCAGCCTCTGAATTGTCTGGTGGGGATTGGTGCAAAGTTTTATATAATGCTCCTGTTTAAAGTAATCATTGGATGCTACACTGGAAAAAAAACCCTAAACCAGGTGACCTCTATGATCCGTTCTCCAGTTCTTTGTTTCTATAATTTCTTGATCCTCTAGGTCAGGGGTGTCAAACTGCTGGCCCGTAGGCCTGATGCGTCACGCGGAAGCCGCACCCACCCCAGCTCCAACAAGGGGAAAAAAGTCGTGATACATCGCGCAGTGAGTTTGACACCCCTGCTCTAGGTCAAGACTTGGTTCCTTTGAGATGTGTAAATCTCCAACATCTGCTGCCAGCATGTCCTTTAGAACATCTAACATCAAGTTGAGAAATGCAAATTTATTTCTACAAGCAATTACAAGAAAGTACCCTTGAAAAGTCTTTGGTAGAGAAACTAGTAGAGTCCTGGAGCAGCTTAAAGGCCAATAAAGTTATTATATGATACATTTTCTGTCCTTTAAATGAAATTTTGTTTTGATTTCTTTTATTCTGTTTCATTATTTTTATAAGTAACTCAAGGTGGTGAACACACCAGATACTCCTTCTTCTTCCTGTTTTCCCCACAACAACAACAACCCTGTGAGGTGGATTGGGCTATGATAGAGAGACTAGCTCAAAGCCACCCAGCCAGCTTTCATGCTTAAGGTGGGAGTACACATTTTGTAGCCTGTAGCAGTTCTCCTATATATAAATCCTATAGCTAATAATCTTGTAAATAATGCTACCACATTTTTATAAGGAAAATATGTACATATTATCATTTCAGGATTTTTGCTCAAACCACTGAAAATTCAGTGCTTATACATACATGTACACAAACACATGTATATGTGTGTGTATATACATATATATACTAATATGAAGCATAATTCCATATATACACATGCATACTTTATATAGAGTATGATCTGATACATTAAGTAGTATTTTTTCCCCAGAATGTATTGTACCCCTCTAAATGGCTGTATTTAATCTTTTAACTATGATGGGATTCTCAAAGCAAAATTGGTTTAGTGAATTTTGCAAGCGAGTTAGTATAAAATAGGCAATTTAAAGTGTCAACTCTAGCCCTGCTCTCCCCACTGAACCTCTTAGCAATGACATTGGTAGTGTTAGGTAGTCATCTTATTTCCATGTTGATATTTGGAGGATTATACAATGAACATAACTACCAGTACATTCAATAGACAAAAAGAAGTATTCACGTAATAGAAACAGATGGTCTGCATTTACAGTCACAACTGGCACTGGAACTTCCATCACTAAGTAAGATGGTAAGTGAGTTATGCGCAATTTTACAATCTTTTTGCTACCCTTATTAAGCAAATCACCATGGCTGATAAGTGAATTGCACGGTCTTTATGCAAATCCAGATTCCCCCATTAATTTGGCTTGTTGGAAGCCAACTGAGAAGGTCACAAATGATGATCATGTGACCCTGAGATGCAGCAACCATCATAAGCACATGCTGATTGCCAAATGCCTGAATTCTGATCACATGACTGCCGGGACACTGACCATCATAAATGCGAGAACCAGTCATAAGTCACTTTTTTCAATGCTTTTCAGTGATTTACTAATCAACATTCAACTCCTGATGGACATTACACAATGTATTTTTTTTCTTGTGTATTTCCTCCTAAAAGGAGACGATCAGCAACGACTGATATCCTTCACCATGAGTAGAGGCAAAGTTCCGATAACTCGGTCACGAGAGGTTTCTGTAAAGACGTCAGTACCCCGGTCGTACTACAGTAACTTCCCGTATCTATTTATCTACTCCCATTTGCATGCTTTTGAACTGCTAAGTTGGCAGGATCTGGGGCAAGGATGGGAGCTCACCCCATCACGTGGAGCTCAGCTTTCCAACCAACAAGCCCAGTGTCTTAAACCACCGAGCCATCGTGCTGCCCAATGTGCTACATTAATTTACTCAAAATGAAAATAATCCATCATTTTTAGACTCCATGAATGCCTGGGTAAATTAATAATAAGATCTATCAATAGCTTTTAACTATCATGGTTAAATAAAATCTTTGTATTCAAAGGCAACTGACATGTTTTTAGATAATGGTAAGGGCTGTTGAACCCTTTCCATAATAAACTATATAGGTTGGCTGGTATATTCAAGTGACAAGGTTCTAAGTCAGTGTATCTCTACCTTGGCAACTTTAAGATATATATGCTGGCTGGAGAATTCCTGGAGTTGAAGTCCACATATCTTAAAGTTGCCAAGGTTAAGACATGTTCTAGACATGTTCTACAGCAAAATCTACAAGTTGAACAATTACATTCTCTGCCCTCTTAATTTAGCACGTCATATGATTAGCTTTGCTTCTCTGTTTGAAGCACTACAGTTAAGACACTGATTCAGAGGAAATACTCATTGCCCCAAGGTGAAGCTCTTAAACGCTAAGACGTTGGGTTAGTTCTTCAATGCATTTTAAGAGGAAAAAAAAAGAGTTAGACACAAGAATCAAATTGCGTATCATTAACAAGGACGTAAACTAAATTATTTTCAAGGAAAAACCTCACTCAGGCCGGTGAAATTAACCATTATTAACCGTATAATATAATTATTTCAAAACAATAACAATTTCTGGTTTCCAGTCAGTAACGAAAAGGTAAGTTCGACAAAGGAAAAGAAGAAGGGACTGAAGGAGGAGGTGAAGCTCATATTCTTCTACATCAGCTTTCGCATCCTGATACTGCTGGTATTCGGAAACCAAGTCATTGGTGTTGCCTTCTGCCTCAGAAAATTCCATTTCATCCATCCCTTCACCAGTGTACCAGTGGAGAAATGCTTTTCTTTTGAACATTGCTGAGAACTGATCAGAGATGCGACTGAAGAGCTGCTGAATGGCCGTGTTGTTGCCTATGAAGGTGGCCGACATTTTTAGACCACGAGGAGGAATGTCACAAACAGCCACTTTAACGTTGTTGGGGATCCATTCCACAAAGTGACTGCTATTTTTAGTCTGCACAGCCAATAGCTGCTCATCCACTTCCCTCGTAGACATTTGGCCTCTGAAGATGCAGGCCACTGTCAAATACCGCCCGTAACGTGGGTCACAAGCTGCCATCATATTCCGAGCATCGAACATCTGTTGTGTAAGTTCTGGGACTGACAGAGCTCGGTATTGTTGACTGCCCCGAGCTGTTAGTGGAGCAAATCCTGGCATAAAGAAGTGAAGTCTGGGAAAAGGCACCATGTTGACGGCCAACTTTCTCAAATCTGCATTGAGTTGGCCAGGAAAGCGAAGTGAGGTAGTGACGCCACTCATGGTGAGGGACACCAAATGGTTGAGATCTCCATAGCTTGGTGTGGGGAGCTTCAGTGTTCTAAAGCAGATGTCATACAGAGCTTCATTGTCGATGCAGAAGGTTTCATCTGTATTTTCTATCAGCTGGTGGATGGATAAGATGGCATTGTACGGTTCAACAACAGTGTCTGAAACTTTGGGTGAGGGCACCACACTGAAAGTGTTCATGATCCTATCAGGATATTCTTCTTTGATCTTGTTAATCAGAAGGGTGCCCATTCCAGAGCCTGTCCCACCTCCGAGAGAATGGACGAGCTGAAAGCCCTGGAGACAGTCGCATCCTTCAGATTCATTCCTCACAATGTCCATTACATTTTCAATCAATTCGGCCCCTTCGGTATAATGACCCTTTGCCCAATTGTTACCAGCACCTGAATTTCCTGTAAATATATAGTTATAAAGAGAGCTGGCTAAATGTCAATTGAATAATTAGCAATTCATTTAAAAAATTAATTATTCTACCCAAATGCAAAAAGCTTATCTCTAAAACAAGGCAGGACCTCAGCCAGTCTTCCTAAATGCCGGTAAGTTATTAACAGGTGCATAAAAGTACCCCTTGACATTTAGGGAAGAAAATGAATTTTATATCAAAACATATATATATATTTGAGAACAAAGCCTATGTTGGTTCCACTTAAAAATTTTAAGCAGATTGATAACCATTATGGAACTGTTATAGGTATTAGGGTTTTTTTGTAGAACTTCCAGTTTCATCTCTAGGAATTTTTTTTCAAATGCCACCTTTAATTATTTGCTTACAAAAACCTACAAAATGTTCAACCTCCATATCAAGATCCTGCAGCTAACCTAAAATTGTAATTAATTATAGAATGGATAAGGCACCTGCCTCCATGTAGGAGGAGTCGATTCTAAAATGGTGGCGCCTTTCTTGGCTGCAGTTGCTTCAGCTCCCAAGAATGTTGAGGTTTTAGAGTTGAAAGTGTCACCTGATTTGAGTGATTCTTTGGCAATTGTGACGAGAAAGTGGAATTGTATTACCAAACTGTTATATGACCGTCAGTTCTAATTGGATTTGGTGATATTTAGCAAGAGAGGAACTGGTGATAAAGCTGTTCTGGAAAGTCTGTGTTGCTTTGGACTGCTTCAGTTGAAGGTGTCAGCAGCAAAAGTGTCGATTGGGTGGAGGGTGAGGGATCAGCTGCAATCTCTAAAAGTTCTTGACAATGTTTTGGGCAGTGGAAGCAGTGGGGAGCAGCAGCCTGTGAAGCAGGGAAGTCTCCCCCCAGCTCTGAGTGTCTTTTGAGGTGGAGGCAGTGTGATTGAAAGAGGAAACATGGGGCAAATATAGAGGGCTAATGACTAGGCTACGGGTTAATCCATATGGAATGTCACTACCATCTATTTTGTTTGCTAATGTGTTCCCTAGAGCCTAAAATGGATTACATGAAACTAGAGTTAATAACAAACCGGCAGGTGAGAAACTGCTGTGTCATCATTGCAACAGAAACATGATTAAAACATTCCGCCCCAGATAGTGCTGATAGCTTGGATGGACCTTCAACATTTCGGCTTATTCCCTTTTGAGAGCAGGAATCAGAATTTCATTTTTAAATGTGTGCAAGTGTGTTCCCAGGAAAAAATGACAAAGTTTATCTTATCTTGTAAGAAATGTTCTGGTTTCGTCTTTGAATATTTTAGATAAGTCTCCTGTGATCTGTTTAAGCTTTCACTAAAAACATAAAAAACAGAATTAAGTTTCTCCTCATAAAAATTAGGCTGTTAGGTGTTCTGAAGCTATGATTAAAGATACTGATATCTTAGTGACTCAAAGGGATGAATGTCAGCTATGTTGATTCTGTGAGTATCAAATTGCTAAATTAGTTTTATAAGTAATGTCATATACATACCATGAATGAAGTTATCGGGCCGAAAGAGTGGACCAATTTTGCTGGACCGCACACTGTCCATTGTTCCAGGTTCCAAGTCCACCAGGATAGCACGAGGAACATACTTATGAGCTGCAGCACAATGGATCAAAGATATGATAAATAATCACTTGTAGGCCTCACCTGAACATTTCCTAAGCCTACAGAACTCATTTAAAACACTCCAGAAGTATTTTAAACACTTAAGTCACCCAAACCATGCACACAAACATGGTAGAATTGGTATTGTCTTTAAACTGGAATGTAAGCAATTTGGGCTTAGAAATCAACATGATGTTGACATTACTAGAGCATGGATTGATTCGTTTTGGATGCTTCTCAGAATCTATGTGGACTTCAGGATGATTGTCAGTTCAAAATGGGGTTAGCCAGTTGACCCCCAACACAGCATCTGATGACTTTTCTAAAGAGGGCCAAGAATGGGCAGGGATGTCATGTTGGACAATCCCCTACTAATTAGAAATAGGCTTTGGAAACCTGCTGAAACACTGTCCGCAATCTTCATATCTGTTACCAGTAAACAAATAAAAAGTGGAACATAAAAATATGTGGGAAAATGCCTGGCAGTGGGCAAGAGTGCAGGTAATCCTCAATTTACAACAGTTCATTTAGTGACCAAAGTTACAGCAACACTGAAAAAAGTGACGTATGACTGTTTTTCACACTTACAACCATTGTAGCATCCCCGTGGTCACGTGATCAAAATTCAGATGCTTGGCAACTGACACATATTTATGATGGTTGCAGTGTCCCTGAGGTCATATGATTCACTTAACAACCGTGTTACTAACTTACAACTGCAGTGATTCACTTAACAAGTATGGCGAGAAAATGGGGCAAAATTCACTTAACAAAATGTCTCGCTTAGCAACAGAAATGTTGGGCTCATTGTCGTCATGAGTCAAGGACTGTCTGTAGTATCAAATGTTTATGCAATTTCCTCTATGTCCGTTAGATGGCAATATATTGAAAGCTATGAACGTCTGAGAAATGTATGTTAAGTTGGTGAGATACACATAGGGCAGGGATAGGCAACCTTGGCTCTTTTATGACTCGTGGACTTCAACTCCCAGAATTCCTGAACCAGGAATTCTGGGAGTTGAAGTCCACGAGTCATAAAAGAGCCAAGGTTGCCTACCCCCGACATAGGGCTTTTATTACATTAAGGAAATCATCACATCCACACAATCTGTTCACAGAAATCTATTCTGGAAGGCAATATCCACTATCTTCAATGAGACTGGTGATTTTAAAATGCTGCAGACTTTGCAACCGTATCGTCTCCTCTGTACAGGAAAGAATTTGAACTCCAAAGTTATTCATCTTTCTCTTGAGATAATATATTCAGCTGTGAATGATCAAATACTGTAATCCTAGAGTACTGTTTCTCAATTTACTAATCTTAAGAAGTGTGGACTGAGTTGAAGTTCACACCTCCTAAAGTTGCCAAGGTTGAGAAACGCTGGGGGTTTCATGGCTTCACTGAAAGGTAATAAAGTTGGCAGGGAACTTAGAAGTCTTCTAGACCAGGGGTAGGCAACCTTGGCTCTTTTATGACTCGTGGACTTCAACTCCCAGAATTCCTGAGCCAGCATGGCTGGCTCAGGAATTCTGGGAGTTGAAGTCCATGAGTCATAAAAGAGCCAAGGTTGCCTACCCCTGGTAGACCAACCCCTTGCTCAAGCAGGAGGCCCAATATCATTCCAGACAAATGGCTGTCCAGTTTCTTCTTAAAAACCTCCAGTGATGGAGCACCCACAACGTCGGAAGGCAAGCTGTTCCACTGGTTAGCTGTCCTCACATTCCATTGATTAACTGTTCTCGCCGATAGAAACTTTCTCCTTAATTCTAGGTTGGATTTCTCTTTAATAAGCTCCCACCCATTGCTTCTTGTCCTGCCTTCTGGTAGTTGGAAGAATAGGTTGACCCCCTCTCCTGCCCCTCAAATATCGAAAGCAATTAATAAATGATAATAGGATGGTCATTCTTGCCTGGGTTGCAAATGTATCTCTACAGCAGTGTTTTTCAAACTTGGCAACTTTAAAATGTGTGGACTTCAACCTCCAGAACTCTCTGGCCAGTGGACCAGATCTGGCACATAGCCTACAGTTTGCCAACCCCAGGTCGAGTGCAAACGTAAGAATTTTTGATGCTGCAGTTCTAATACACAAAGCAGTTTCTGCGCAGGGAAAGCCTCATTTGACAGTTCTTAAAAGAAGTGGGTTTCGTGGCAGTGAAAGATGACAAAGCATTTTATTTATTGTGTTATAATAATACTGTTAAGGCACTCTTGAATCTCTGGCATTGATAGTAATACATAAATGATAAACATGTTCTATTTTTAACCTCTGTAGTTGCCCATGCAAGCAAAGTTGTTTTGCTCAGTTACTTACAGTACGCTTCATTGAAGTACACATTAATTCTTTCCTGCTGCAACGGTGAATCACCGTGATAATTTCCTGTGGTGTCAATCCCATGCTCGTCGCTGATGACTTCCCAGAACTGAAAGAGGACAAACAGACTCAAACAATACAAGCATTCCACCTGGTTATTTATTTCTGTATTTACTGGCCTGGTAAAGTCGTGAAAGGCTTGGATCACTGGCATTCTTGCATGGGTGGGGCAGCACGCATGGAATTTGAAGGAGCTCTCTTTTTTCCCTTGACTTAATGTATGAATTTTCCTTCCCCCTCCACCTCCCTAGTAGGAAATCAAGGTGATAAACAAATCAGATAAAAATAGTCATGTGAGTCAGATCGGGAAACAGCAGCTCCCTCTGTCTGTAATCCTGAAACTAAAAATTGGTTACTTGCCACAAGTTAGTAGAGCAACCTTCCCGTGCACTGTCAGGTGGGTTTGGATTGCTTTGGGTAGTTGTGAATATTTAATATGACTTCCGGCAGTTCTTCATGTATTTCTAGGTTCTCATTCATCCTGGTTTCTCTTCCCAGTCTTCTTTCTCTCTTTCCCCCCTACCCATTCCCTCAATGGGGTTACTAAGAGTCAACACCATCTTGCTTTCACTGAAACAGTCCATTCTTTCTCCTGCAATCTTGAGAACCCTTTCTCAGGTCACGTGTTAGTAAAACCAGGTGGGGAGGAAAGGAAAGAAAGTAGATTCCATGGCATCCAGAACTGCCAGTGTGGGACAGAATAAGACCAAATTTGGCCAAAGAAAGGTCCAATTTTAAAATGGGCCAGATTTGGCCGAAGGCTGCAAAGGAAAACACTCAAGAAAAATACCTCTTTTCTGGTCATGTGACTTAGAGCAGAGCATGTGCAGCCCACCCTGTGCACCCATGTAGACAAACACAACTGCAACATGATGGAAGAGCAGAAATCCACCTAAACACACAGTTATAATCTTCTGTCTTTATTTACAATGACAAAAAGAGAGAGGTTTTCTCTGCTCGTGACTAAGGGTTGGAAAGTATTCCCAAAGCTGTGCTAGCACATTTTACCACCTTGTTTAATTTTCCTCCCTACTGCTAAAGTCAGGTTTTAAAATAACTTTCACAATCTTTGAATTGCATTGTACGCTTTTCGTTAATTATGATTTATTCTTATTATCTTCACCAATTCATTTCAACCCAGACTTGTAAGAATCAAAAGCAGAGAGACAGCAATAGGCAGAGTTTTTACCAGTCCAACATTGAGTTGGAGTAGAAAGCAACGTGTGGCATTGGATTCTTACCCCACAACCTCTATCTTCGTGTCCACTCCGACATTCAGCCCTGCTGAGCCTTTATCTGGGACTATGAGGGCGTAAATGCAAGAACGCCCTCGTATTTAATTTGTATTTAGTTTGTACAAACCTCTTGTATTTAGTTTGCAGTAAAAAAAAAATACTTTGATAGTTACAAATAGTCTACAATTCAAAACTGGGATGTGTACAAAAGTGTCATGCTGAATCAGACTATATTCTTCCAGGGTCATTAGGAAATGTAGCCAAAGGAAAGCATGAAGATTCATTCCCCTTCTGAGTCCTTGTAATTTAGGAGACATTTTATTTCCAGAAGTTTTGCTGAGTTCTTATAGGCAGCAGTTTCCATCATCACTAAGAATACAGGTAGTCTTCAACTTACAACAATTCATTTAGTGGCCATTCAAAGTTACAACAGCTCTGAAAAAAGTGACTTATGAGCATTTTTCACAACCTTTGTAGCACCCCCACGATCGTGTGATCAGAATTCAGATGCTTGGCAACTGGTTCATACTTACGACCATTGCTGTGTCCCAAGGTCATTGGATTAGCTTTTGCAACCTTTTGACAAGCAAGGTCAATGAGGAAGCCTGATTCACTTAACAACCTGGTTACTAACTTATCAACTGCAGTGATTCACTTAACAACTGTGGCAAAAAAGGTCATGAAGTGGAGCAAAACTCACTTAAAAAATGTCCCACTGAGCAACATAAATTTTGGGCTCAATTGTTGTCGTTAATTGAGGACTACCTGTACTTACGAATGACCTACATTAGGAAATAGTTGCTATTGTCTATCAATTGTGGTTAGAACAAAATTATTCAGGACATGATCTATATCAGGGCTAGCCTTTTGCCACTTATTTTGCAAACTTCCTTGTTTCCAGGTTGCCTTACATCAACCAAACGTATTTGTAAGTAAAAGAAATACAGAACTTGTTTTAAACATACTTTCTTTACAACAAGAAAGGAATGCCATAAATTAATTTTCAAATACAATTCACTGGCGAAGGAGTAATTACCATTTAAAAAATGAGAATTACGCTGAGTAAATATTCACAGGAGATTTTTCCCAGCCTGGGGACTCCAAATGCCCCACTATAATAATTCCTTGGCAGGAAATGACAGGATCTAAAATCCAGACCGTCATTTTAGTGGCTGATTAATGCTGTAATGCTATTTTTCTAATCTGGATTGATCTGGACACATCTTTAGGAGAACAGATTAGTAATGATTCCTCAGAAAAACTCAAGCACCACCAGAGTATTTTGTCCAAAGAATGGACAAGGTGGGGGAATATGCCAGCACAGTGGGAACTATGATCATTAAACCTTCTTAGTCTTTGCCATTTTTACTAAATATACTATATTTTCACTGGGTTTGTATTAAGGGGATTTGTTCACACCAGCATTCATTTTCTTCTCTACTTGCACCCCAAAATGTCTTTAAAGAGCAATTCAACAAATGAATGTGGGGGAAAAAAACTAATTGTCATATTTCTGTGCTACTGCTGTTTTCCAAAGCTAGTATGTTGCTGGGAAGAAGTGAACATCTCTTTTTCAGTTGTGCAGGTTTCCTTGAGGCATCTGATATGAAACAGGATGCTGGTCTAAATGAATCATTATTTGACCTTTCTTCTGACATGTTGAAAAACCTATGTTTTAATAGATTTTGCATGTTGGTCAAATGTAATAGCATCTTCATCCAAACGTCTATCACATTTGTTGGTGTGAACTTATAGCTCATTATCGTTAAGCAGCATAATGAAAGCAATGTCCTACCTTTGCACCAATCTGATTCCCGCACTGGCCAATCTGGACATGCACAATTTCACGCATCTTGCTAGATCCAGCAAGGAAGATGGATTCCTCTTTTCCAGATGCTCTCTCCAAAAGAGTCACTCACCCCCTGCAGTGCCAGCTACAGCTACTCTTATCATCTGCCAAATGTGACTTCTAGAGTAAATGCAAGCAACAGCATCAACATGGGAAGATCTGGCACCTCCCACTGCTGACTACAAGAGCTCTTCTGATATGACATTCATAAGAAAGTCCCAAAGAAGGAAAACATTCTAATAATTCAGTATCCCTTTAATGAATGCATCTCTTATCCATGTAATCTTATGCACAAGGACTCGGCCCATCCAGCCCAAGCTATGCAATCTTATTGTGTCTTGCAACAACTACTCACATTTCCAAATGCGCAACTTGGGGTGCTAGTAGAAAATCAGGTCTTTCTCTTTCATTCCAGCTCGCTGAGATGAAATAATAATCCATGATCACCTATATGGCATGATGTCTGGTCCCCACCTTTTATTGATAATTATCAAAGCACAACACCATCAAATCCAACATTTTGTGTCCAATAGTGCGGGCAGATGCTAGTCATATCAGACACAGAGATTGTTACAGCCATCATTAAAGACTCTTCTTCAGAAGAGATGAAGAAGCCTAAGGAGCCTTGGAAGCAACAGATTTATTGATGTGGGATCTGCAAAGCAAGCAAAGAGGAGTCAATAATCTGGATTATGAAATTCCAGATTCTTGCTGGATTCTTTGAAACAATCTCCAAAACATTGAGAATCATTGCCGGATAGAAAGTCAAACAACTACGGGGTGCAGAAAGTGAGACTGGAAGAAAAACCTCTTTGGAGTAGTATTAGGGATCAGTTTTTAAGTTTCCCTCCAATCCAATTTATTCATATTCATGCTGGTTGTATTGGGAAATCAGGCTTCTATAATACAATCCACTCAGGAGTGACCCAATGTTGGAAACCAGCTCTGTATTTTGCATGCTTTTTTGTCAAGGTGTCTTCAACCCTGCAATAAACATTTGCATTGTCTTTTTGACCTCTGAAACATATATAGTAGTTTGATTTTTTCCCCCTCTTTTTGTGAAATTCTGGCATTATGGTGTGGTTAACTCCTGGATGTTCTCTAGCCTGGGTTTACTGTTTCCTACAGATTGACTATTTGGGGGAGTCCTTAACCCATAATTATAACTTCTTCCTCTTTTCTAAGTCCACTGGCTAGGAGAAGGCAAAGGTAGTTCTTCCCATTTTGGCTATACAATGCTTTATAGGCAAACATATGGGTTTATAGATCTGGAGAATCCTTGTAGTTTTCTCTTCTTCTGTTCTTGAATATGCACCAAGTGGAGGCAAACTTTATTGGGGGGAACAGTGAAACTCTGTGAAATTTTGGATATGTGTTTTGGATGTTCTCACAAAATATCTGCCATGAAAGGACAGCTTGCCCATTCCCCAAGCGGCTGCCACCTTGATTGTAGTTAATCCTGAAGCAATCCTTTCCCAGGAAGAAAATTTGTGTTGTTTTTTTTTGCCACGTATTCCCCCATCCTCCCCACATAGCTTATTTCTCTCTTCTTTTTCATGGTCCCCATAACACTCTGTGTCTTTGCTGAGACCACGTGCATTCTGTTCCAGAAGAAGCCATAGCAAGCATGTTCCCTTGTGATAGGGAGAGGTCTGTTTATCTGAGAGCACCACGCTTCCCAGCAGTGTTGGCCAGAGGCTGCAGTGATGCTGCAAATGTGTTATCCTTCCCTGGCTGCAGAACAGGACCTTATTTGTTTAGGCTACAGCTTCATTAGAGGAAGGACTGCACAATTTATTTTTAATTGTGCATCGGAACTGCAGACAAATTCTGATAGGACAAATATAGAAATTATGTGCCAAGGGCACTAGCAATGACTAGGGCCCAGAGAATGGTAAGTCAGAAAAATAATTTAATATAAAAGCTGTTGCCTTGAAAAGCAGAGAGCGTAGTCTACTCTAGAGTAGGTGAAGTGCAAGCCATCCCACTTTTTTTTAGAGGATAGTTAAAATGTAAAAACTCTTCTTTTTTGCAACCAACTCTAAAGTATCACAGCAGGCATTTTTCGAAAACCAAATGGAAGACATATGTGTAAGTTTCTATCTGCCCTTACTATTTTTCAGCCTGATTTCGCCTATTGGCTATTTTATTGAAAATGGATAAAATCAGCTCAGCTATCCGTGGGGGATGCAAATGTGAGAACTCAAGATGGCACTGCAAGGAATTTAAGAAATAAACATTGCAGGCTGCATCCAAATTTCTTAGGTTGAAAAAGATGGTGGAGATGGAACAAATTAAAAATTGCATGATAAAGTGGATGCAAAACTTCAAAGAAGTTATCAGAGTAGGACAATGGGATGAGCTATGGAAAAATCAGTAAAATGTACTCCAGGATATCATTTGAAGAAAAACTGGTACAAAATATTTCATTTGTGATATATACCTCTATCAAGGTAAATTCAGACACTTGAAATATGTCTTTAGGAGAACAGTGAAGACACTAATCAAAAAAAATACATGAAATTACTTAGATATTAGAAATAATCTCCAACGTTTAATGTTAAAAAAAACATACTCACATAGTACAAATACTTGTGTGATGGTTAGAAGTTTGGGATATACATAGAAGGGAAGGGAAGAATGTGACTGGTTCCAAAAAAATGGGGTATTATAGAAATGAATACAAATAATCCTCTGTAAGAAACATGTACAGTTAAGTCTTCATTTATCATCCCGAGGAACCTTCATATATACACTCTTGTATTGAACTTAATAGATGAGTCAATACTTGACCCTTTAAACCCGTTTTGTGGGTCGTCGTAGGTGTTCCAGTGTGACGAAAACAGGAAAGAGGGTTAAAAGTCTCCCAACACTATAGGGAGAGTGTTATATGGGCAGAGTTTTGATTGTACAGGTTTTGATTGTACAGAGTTTTGATTGTACAGGTGGCCCTCGACTCACAACAGTTCATTTGACTCCCTCTTCTTTGTGGCAGCCCCTGAGATATTGGAACACTGCTATCATGCCCCCCCTTCATCCTTCTCTTCGTTAAACTAGACATACCCAATTCCAGCAACCATTCCTTATATGTTTTAGCCTCCAGTCCCCTAACTATCTTTGTTGCTCTTCTCTGTACTCTTTCTAGAGTTTCAACATCTTTTTTACATCGTGGTGACCAAAACTGGATGCAGTATTCCAAGTGTGGCCTTCACGTGATATATATTTTTCTACTCTGCAAACAGAAAAAGCAAAGGCCACCTCTTCTACCACAACCAGCCCAGTCTTTCTCCCCATCTCCCTCCCCCGCCCCACTTTTTAAAAAAACTTCTTTATAGGGAGTCACTGCATATATATGACACGTTCCTTTTAAAGAAAAGACTAATTTAGCAAAATCAGCTCTTCATCTGTATCCAGAAACACACTATTGCTGGAACTCAAGTGAACTGCCCTGGGCCTTATCAAGTGGCAACACATGGGCAAAGTCAAAAGATGAAAATTAGTTCAAAAGAATAGCTCTGGGGAACTGCCACAGTTTTCCAAAAGTGTTAGCTTTATTGTTCTAAGATTTAGAACTGTTCTTTTTGAGACTTTCCGGCATTTTCCAGAAAGCCAAGCCCAATTCTGCTTTCAAAATCTACCTGGTTTGTGAAGAAAAAGGGAGTCATCTGGTAACATCTCCTACAAACAAAGGATTACAAATATTAAGAAACATGATATTTTCCCATTGATTATGTCCACACGAGCAGGCAGGTTGGACTGATGAAAGCAGAGACAGGAAATTGTGATGCAAACCCCTCTCCTTTTCCACATGCAATATCATACACACAACCTGAAGGTGCAGAAAATGTTAACATGGTGGCTTGAAACAGCTTTCATCTTTGTGACAAAAGCAGTGTGACCTTGTGGATGCTGCTGTTTTTTTGCTCAAATTGCCCAGTTCATAACATAACTCAAGTTATGTTCTCACATATATACTTCCAAGGAGCCCTACTATTTACTTCTGAATAGACATGTACAAAAAATGTCTCCTTTAAAACACAATCAACGCCTGGACACATTCACATAGTTTTCTTGGCAGTAATACCAAAAATAACTTGCTGCTACACTCTTTCAAGATATTTCAATTTTCCAAGCAAGCTTCTAAAATTGAAAATTCCTAGCGGTGTCCCATTGAGTAGATGGGGATCCTAACTGGTAACCAGTACTGCATATAAAATAGTGGCGTAGCTCAGGCTAATCAGGGTGGCCCCTTCAATAAGTTGTTCCTTAAATTCATCAAGAACCACTTTGGACAGAATCCAATATGTGGCAGCATTAAGCAACAGGTTAGTAGGAATGCTGGAAGAGAATTCTCACTCCAGTAAGCCCATTGTTTAAAAAAAAAAGTGGTATTTTGCTCTAGTGGGGTTTTTTTTCCAGGCAGGATTACCGTAATTGCATTGAACTTTGATCATCCTGCTGGAGGTTAAGGAGTTGTTCACAAAAAGTAGAATAAAGAGAATTTCT